TTTGCTTTTGACTTCTCCCAGTGGCTGCTTTGATCTTTTCTTAAGTAGCTTTGCATGTAGGTATTGGACACGCTCCCTCTCCGTGCTGGGGTAGAAGGATGCTATCACCAGGATTTTAAGTTGCATCAGGATGGAGGACAACAGTCCCAACATCACTAATATCACAAGAATAACACTGAGAGGAACCCAGGTCTTAGACAGAAGGAGTTTTGGTTTCGGGATGCAGTTGGGTTCAAACACGGATATATTAAAGGAAGAATCATGGATGATGTCTTGCATTCCTTGCTTCTAAAATGAAAGAATAAAATAATCAAAATCCACACCAGTTTCATACTCAGTTCCTGTCTTTCAAAGTATTTTCCAGTGCGTGATACATAGCATTTATCTTCAAATGTACAGGGAGCTTTGGATAAAGGAACTATTCTTTTGTGTGTTATGATAGGAGCAAAGGAGAAGGGATGTGTCTAATTTGTTAACTATCGCAGTGTTTTCCAAAGTGGGCTTGTGGGAATACAGTATAGATTCCCTTGAGAGAAGTGTATTAAATAAATTTATCTACTTTATCCCTTCTTTTGAAAGTCACATGCCCATCAGACTGTTGACGGCTCTGAGAAGAAAGCAGAGAAATCTGTCTAACTTTAGCCAGCAGTGTTCCTAAAAAATTTCACCATACAACTCATTGTCCTGAAAGACGTGTTTCTAACAGTTTGGGCCATATGGGGCTAATGAAAGGTGAGGGGAGTCAGCTAAACTCCTGGGGAAGATTGTTCTGGAATATAGCCCCTTAAGACCCAGTCACATCCCCCAGTCTGGACAAACACCCCTTCAGCAGACCACAGGTCACAAGGATGTTGAACACTAACTTACGTTCTAAACCAACTTTCTGGAGCTTGGGGGGTTATTCTTACTGAGTGTACTATATCCCTTCCAGGTGGATATGTTGACCCTCGAGCCTACTTTACTGAAGCAGACTCTAAAATCTTATTTGTGGAGGTCTTAAAAACAGGAAATTTTCTCATCCCCCTTGGATCTCATGAGGGGTGTATTCCTTTCTTTTTGAAGGCAAGAGAACAAGCCAGCTGCCCTCAGCAGACGGACACAGAGGGCAGCAGACGACATTGAGCCACCCAGCCAAGCCACCAGCAGGAGAAGCTTGTGCTGATTCAGCTCTTTCCCCCCCTTGCCTGGGAAAGTCATTAGTCTCTTGGTGGATTTGTTTTCTAATTTGGTAAAACAGGAATTAATGGACCAGATCTTGCCCATGAAAACTACTCCCAGTGTAAATTAAACACCTTGGAGACGGAGCATTAGCCTTATAGACTGGAGTGCTTAGTAAGTTATTATCACCCCAGTGCCAGAGAGCCCTGAGGCCAGGAAAAGGTAAATGACTTCTCAGAAAGAACCAAACCACACCCAGAGGACACCCTGCACCTTGAGTCTATCCCAGTGCCTGTGCAGAATTTGGAAACCCCAAACCCAGGACCTCTACATAAATGTCAAGTCAAATCTATAATTTCCCCAGCACGGTGCCTAAGCAATGAAAAACATTTGTGTTGCTCTCCTTTTCTCTTATTAAAAAGACAGTCCGCCTACAATTAACTAGAGAGATTTCAGTCCCCTGAGCAAAGGCATGTACTCTCTTTAATACCATTGAAGAAACAAACACATCGATTGAGTCAGTGATGAGAAATCCTGCAATAAGAAAGCAGTGGGTGTTCGGTCTGGGAAGGAGTTATTTAGTCTAGGAATTTAACTGGGGATTTTGCAGTTGACAGTCCGGGCTGCATAAAGGTTGAGTTAACACTTTTCTATGGGGTTGTTGAAGGTAACGTGGAAGACAAATTAACTCTTTCAAATTGCCAAGCAATATACTAAATGGTACCCTGACGTTTTAAAATATGTTTACGTTTCTTAAGTAAGTAATGAATGGAGGACAGGCTCTGGTGTCAAGCAGTCCTGAGAAGGTAATGCAGCCAAATGCCGTGTGCGTGCTAAGTGCTCAATAACTAGAAACTGTGGTTATTTTTACTTATACTGCCCACCCATACAGCTGCCTCTACTTGGGTCATTTCTCATCTTCTT